AGTTGCATTATCATCACAAGGTAGCTAGAGGCAATTTGATTTTGCAGTTTGCTCATCTCTTTGCATTCCTTTCCTGCAAAATATTAGAAACATCATGACTATTTCTTGTACTTTCTTCCATCGCTCTCACATTACTTGAAGCATACGGGTTTAGCAATGAAACTGATAAGTAATTGCCAAGATGAAGGAAATTCTTTGTGTTGTATTGATAACAATGTCGATGGTGTTTATAGTACAGAGTAGAATCAAGTACTTGCCTAAACTAGAGAAGATTACAATGAATATAATATATACAATGCTAATATTATAGAGTCGTAATTGATGGGAATTATTAATGATAATCTTCAATCATAATACTCCCCCTCAAGATGGTGCATGAAGGTTTTGAATACCCATCTTGGCCAAGAGATGGTTGAGTTGTTGACGAGGAAGAGGCTTCGTAAGAAGATCCGTCAATTGATATGTAGTCTTCACATTACTAGTAGCAATAGTACCATTTTGAACTGCATCACGAACAAAATGGCAGTCTACTTCTATATGTTTTGTGCTCTCATGAAAAACAGGGTTGGCTGCAACATGGAGTGCCGCCTGATTATCGCAAAACCGAGACATAGCTTTCGTTTGATGAATGCCCAGACTTTGCAGTATGACTTTGATTCAAATAAGCTCCTGTAATGTTATTGCCATTGCTCTGTATTCTGCCTCTGCTGCAGATCGAGATACTGTCTGCTGTTTCTTTGTTTTCCAAGATACAATCGAGCTGCCAATCATGAAAATATACCCTGTTAACGAACGTCTAGTGAGTGGACATGCCGACCAGTCTGCATCGCCATAAGCCGAAACGGAAAGATCACTTCGCGAGCTGAAGAATATGCCTTGTCCTGGACTCTTCTTCAAATACCGAACTAGTTGCAGTGCCGCTTCCCAATGTTTCTGTCGTGGGGCCTGTCAAAATTGGGCTAAAATATGCACAGCATAGCTTAACTCAGGTGTTGTCACTGCAAGATATACGAACCTCCCTACCAAGCGTCAATATTTCCCAGGCTCCTCATAGTAGTTTCCATCATCACGAGACAAATTGTGGTTCTGCTCAATAGGTGTTTCAGCTGGTTTGGAGCCAAGAAGTCCACAATCTGTGATAATATACAGCGCATACTTTCTCTGTGAGAGATAGATACCATCTTTGCTTCATGAAACCTCAATCCCCTAGAAATATTTCAAAGCGCCTAAATCCTTCATATGAAAGCAGCAGCTTAGATAATCTTTAAAACCTGCAATCATTATCGAATCACTGCCTCCGATAATTAAATCATCCACATATACCAAGACATATATTGCACCACCCGCTCGATTTAGTGTGAAGAGTTAATAGTCTGAGTGATTCTGAAGAAGGCCGAAATCAATAAGGGCCTTAGACAGCTTCACAAGCCAGCACCTCGGAGCTTGTTTAAGGCCATACAGAGACTTTCGCAGCTTACACACCTTATTACTCTCCGCATGTGAATATCCTGGAGGCAGTTTCATATATACCTCTTCTCCTAAGACACCATGGAGAACTGTGTTGTGCACATCCATTTGGTGCAGCTCCCATCCCTTAGCTGCCGAAACTTCTAGAAGATTCTGCACTGTAGTCAGTTTCACCACTGGTGCAAAGGTTTGTTGATAATCAACACCTTCCTGCTGTCTATTTCCAAGAGCGACGAGTCGTGCTTTGTAGCACTCAATCGTCCCGTCTGAGTTGAACTTGATACGATATACCCATTTGCATCCAATGGCGACTTTTCCCGGAGGAAGATCAGTGATATCCCAATTTCGACTCAGCTCAAGTGCATCGACATCTGTACCCATTGCCCCACGCCAAACTTTAAATTTTACAGCATCTTTGAAAAATTCTGGTTATTCTGTGGCAGCAACTTTTGCGAGAAATGCTTGCTGTGAGGAAGATAAACGCTGGCAATATACAAAATTGGTTAGAGGATAGAAGCACTTACTTGAAGACTCGGATAGTGAGGTGACTGAAACGTGATGGGAGTTTGTAGAATTACGAGTACCAGAAACAACATACGGCTTTAACAAAACTGATTCTGATCAATTACGTTTTCCACGACCCAGATCAGTACCTTCTAATGGAGCCTAAATAATGTTTGAATTATCTTCTCTTTGTTACTGGTTGTATGAAGATGTTGATGCATTCTGCAAAACATCTCCCCCTGATTGATATTTTTCTGCATTTGCAGGAATATTTGGCGTATAATTTTCTTGTGCGTGAGTTAATTCTGGTGCCACAGCTCCTTCTAATTGAGATCCTTCTGGAGCATCAGAACTTTGCGGAGAATCGGCTTCATTTATTGAGAATCTTCTGGAGTGACATAAACAAACTGTGAATCAGCTCCCCCTGTCTGAGATTCTGCTTGAGTTAGTGACATTAGTGGTTTATCAAAAACTGCTGGGTGTGTTGAAGTGATCGTAGTCGTCTCTGCTTCGATAGTACTTGGTGTATTGAAAGGAAAGACGTCTTCCCGGAAAGAAGTCCACACCATCCCTTCTTTCCAACCGGATATCCCAAGAAAATACAACGAGTACCGCGTTCACTGAATTTATCCTTGTCCCTCGAAATCGTTCGAGCGTAACACAATGATCTGAAAGTCCTGAGATTATCATAATCAGGAGCTGTCCCATATAAGAGTTCATATGGGGTCTTGTTGTCGATGATGGGGGATGGTGTGCGATTTATCAAGTATGTTGCTGTTAAAACGCTTTCTCCCCAAAATTTTATGGGTAAGTTTGCTTGAAAGAGCAACGCTCGCGCCATGTTAAGAATATGCCGGTGTTTCCTCTCTGCTCTGCCATTTTGTTGAGGGGTCTCGACACATGATGTCTGATGGATCACTCGTTTCTCTGCAAAAAAAAAACCCTTGAGACAAACAAATTCGAGACCATTATCACTACGCACCATCTTGATATGAGTGTGAAACTGCTTCTCAACAAACGCAAAGAAAGTTTTTAAATAGAAGAATTGTCCATAATGCCCGTGAATGATCATCGACTATAGTGAGGAAGTAGCGTGCACCACAAGTTGAATGAGTTTTGTATGATCCCCACAAATCACAATGAATCAAAGAGAAACAGCCGTCCGCTTTATTAGAATTTGGTGAAAAAGAATCTCGAGTTTGTTTTGCTCTCACACAAATATCACAAGTCTTCTCAAACTCCTTCGAACAATTAGAAAAATCCCCAACATGCGATGAAACAGAAAGAACTTTAGATGACGGATGACCGAGACAGCGATGCCATAGCCTCCTCGTATCTGATCGACCAACATGACTGGCTTGTAATGAAATCGCACCAGTATAGTGGTAAACCCCATCACATTCTTCACCCCCACCAATCAAAGTCCTCGAAGCTAGGTCATGTATCATACAAAACCTTTTTGGAAATTGCACATAACCAGCAACATCACGTAATAACTGAGCCACAGATATCAACGTGAAGGTCATATTTGGTGCATAATAAACATATTGTAGTACGAGACTTTTCCCAAGTTCCAAACTACCTTGTCTCGTAGCCCATGTAAGCTCACCATTAGGCAAAGTAATCGGACAAGGTCAATGGTAGATATATTGGTAAGTAGGAAGATATCACCAGTCATATGATGTGACGCTCCAGAGTCTATGATGATGTCATATCGACTATACTTGCCAAAAATAAAAAGTTTATCTCTCTTACCCGAGAGCTTGTCTGGATTGTTCTGTTTATGAGTATTCAGAAAATTTGCCAAGAAAGCCCATGATCAGCACTGAAATTTGGTATTCCAGGAGTGTTAGCAACATCAGAATAAAAAGCACCTTCTCCAATCTGGAGATTGTTAGGCCGGAAACCAGAACCACGACCTCCACGCCCTCAATCAGAGTTTTCGAATCCACGACCACGACTTCCATCACCTATGCCGCCTGACCCTTTCCCTTTATCATTCCACCAAGTCAGAAATCCAATCAACTGGAAACAGGTAGTGGATTTATGACCTGACTTTCCACAGTGAGTGCAAACAGATCGTGGAAAATGAGCGGCGGTAGCTTGATTTGGCTGAATCAGATTCCCTGCCGTTGAAGATGATGTTGCAGTGGAAAAACCAACGACTGGAACCCTTTCTTTGTTACCCCTCATCACGTTCAAATGTCTCTCCTCCTGAATGATTTGAGAGTACACAGCATCGAGATTCAAATCGCCTCCTCTACTCAAGAGATTCTATCTCGCTGTTCTGAACCTGGAAGTGACGAGTCCAATGAGAAACTGATGGACTCTAACCTTTTCCTTTTGCGTCTCTTATGCCACCATAGACGCACATTCAAGACTTCCACAACAACAAGTGAAGCCTTTTCCCAGATCTGCGAGATCATCCCACATCACTTTTAGCTTGCCAAAATAGATTTCCTCCTTTTCTCCTTCTTGTCTACAAGCAGTGATGTTGGCATGGATTTGATGAGTGTGAGTGTCATCGCTGACAGAGAACCACCGCTGGAGACTCGCCCACATAATTTTAGCACTGTCCACCAAGGAGATCGATGGCCTTAACTTTGCTTCAACGCTGCTGTAGATCCACCCAATGATCATCGAATTCACCATGTCCCATTGCTCTGCCAAATCAGAGTCGTGAGACGGCCGCTTGAGAGTTCCGTCAATGAACCCAAGGTTTCGTTTCGTACGGAGCGAGTTTAACATCAACTTCGCCTATCGCTCATAGTTTGTTCCATTCAATAGGATTAGAGTTTGGACTTGCCTGGTGCTATAAGACGGATGCAAGTAGTAAGGAGACATCAATCTGTCAGTAGCAACAGGAACTGAAGAAAAAGCTGTTGTTTCCGACATTGATGAAGAAGAAAACAGAGTAGTCGAAAGAAGAAAAAATTATTGAAAAAGATATATTTTGTTAGGCTCTGATACCATGCCAAAATGAAGGGAATTCTGTATGTTGTATTGATAATATATACGATGCTAATATTATGGAGTCATAATTGATGGGAATCATCAATCATAATAGTAATCATTGTTAGAGTTCAAGTCTCAAGTTTCTGACAGCAAAAAAGTTGTCTTGTCCTCATGGAACAACTTAGTCCCTCTCTGCAACTGGACTGGAGTTACATGCGGCTGCAAACACAAGAGAGTTACTAGTTTAGACCTTAGATGATTTCAATTGGGCGGGGTGATATCGCCATCTATTGGTAATCTTTCGTTTCTCAAATCACTTAATCTCTCATATAACTCTTTTGGTGGTACCATCCCTCAAGAGTTGGGAAGCTTGTTTAGGCCTCAACACCTGTTTAAATCATTTAACTTTCTCAAAGAAGGGATTCCAGCTAGTCTTTTTAACTGCTCTAGATTGGTGAGACGTAACTTACACTCAAATTATCTTGGACAAGGTGTTCCTTCAGAACTAGGATCATTGACGAAGCTTGTTTCTTTAGATCTTGGTCGAAACAACCTGAAAGGAAAGCTTCCTGTATCTCTAGGAAACTTGACATTCCTGAAAGAACTTAGCTTTGTAGCAAACAATTTGGAAGGGAAAATTCCAAATGAGATAGCTAGATTGACTAAAATAGTGGATCTTGAGTTTGCAGCAAACGGTTTCTTTGGTGATTTTCCTCTCGCAATTTATAATTTGTCATCGCTTGAGCTATTAAAAATCATTGATAGTGGCTTCTCTGGGAGCTTAAGGCCTAATTTTGGTAACTTATTACCAAACCTTCAAGGGTTATTTATCGTAATTAACTCTTTCACTGGTTCAATTCCAACAACACTTTTTAATATCTCGAATCTTCAATTGGAATGGAAGATAACAATCTCACATAAAGTATTTCTCCGAGCTTTGGAAAAGTACGAGATTTGAAATTCCTAGCACTTCATACTAATTCTTTGGGAGGCCACTCTTTTCGAGATCTTAAGTTTTTTGGTGCTTTAACCAACTGCACCAAACTGAATGCCTTGCTTGTAGCTTACAATAGGCTTGGGAGTGACTCACCTACCTCCATTTCCAATTTGTCGATGAATATCCAGATATTGGAACTTCAATCAAATTTCATCTCTAGAAGCATTCCTGGTGACATTGGGAATCTCATAGGCCTACAAATACTTTTGTTGGGAAACAATTTGTTAAAAGGGCCACTTCCAACCTCACTTGGGAAGCTTTTAGGATTAATACAATATAGTGTTCATTCAAATAAATTATGAGGAGAGATTCCTTGTTCTATAGGCAACATCACTCGGTTATAAAGTATCTATGTATCCTACAATAGCTTTGAAGGAATTATTCCTCCTACTATTGGTAAATCATTTATCGTAAATGTAGCCACATGCTGTATTTATATCTTCAGGATAATAAGTTGAGAGGGACTATACCTCGGGAGATTATGCAAATTTTACCTCTTGTTTTACTAAACATGTCAAATAATTATTTGAGTGGCTCTCTACCAGAATATGTTGGAAGACTTGAGAAACTTGGCACATTCTCTCTTGCATATAATAAGCTATCAGGGAAACAACCACATACTTTGGGAAAGTGTCTTTCCTTGGTACAACGTTTTCTTCAAGGCAATTCTTTTGATGGAACCATTCCAGACATAAGTGGGTTAATGGGTGTTAAGAGGGTTGATTTCTCGAACAATAAACTCTCTGGAAGCATACTTGGATACCTCGCAAACTTGAACTTGTTGGAGTATCTCAATTTATCTGTTAACAACTTCGAGGGAAATGAGCCAACAGAAGGAAAGTTTAAGAATGTTATTATAATTTCAGTAGTTGGAAACAAAAACCTATGTGGAGGCGTCTTGGAATTGAAACTAGGGCCATGCTTTTCGAAAGCACCAGGAAAGGGGACAAAGCATTCCTCACTTTCAGAGAAAGTTGTGACTTGAGTAAGCATAGGCACATCTTTGCTTTTGTTGTTGTTAATAACTTCAGTTTCTCTCTGTTGGTTCAGAAATAGAAAGAAGAACAAGATCAATGAAGCAACTTTTTCCACATTGGGGGCTTCCCATGAAAGGATAAGTTATGGAGACCTTCGAAATGCTACTGATAGCTTCTCTACAAGTAATTTGATTGGGTCAGGCAGCTTTGGTACCGTGTTTAAAGCATTACTTCCAGCAAAGAACAGTTGTTGCAGTGAAAGTTCTAAACTTGCAGATAAGCGGAGCAATGAAGAGCTTTATGGCACAATGTGAATCGCTGAAGGACAGTCACATAAGGCATCGTAATCTTGTCAAACTGTTGACGACTTGTTCGAGTATTGACTTCGAAGGAAATGAATTCACAGCTCTAATCTTTGAATTCATGCCAAATAGAACCTTGGATATGTGGTTGCACCCAGAGGAAATAGAAGAGATTCATAGGCCCTCAAGAGCCTTGACACTTCTTGAACGGCTTAACATAGCCATCGACGTTGCTTATGTTTTGGATTATCTTCATATTCATTGCCAAACTTTTATTTATTGACAAACTTTTATTAATATATACAGCAAAATAAATTATAAAATTAAAATAAATAAAATATCAAAAATCTGCGCAATGGCAGATTTTCTCGTAATATCTATAACTAGGTGTTTCTCTGCACCTTGTGCGGGATTCGATTAATTTTTTAATAACATTAGTTTATTTATAGATAAAAAAGTTCAGATTTTATAATTATTCAAAAACAACATTAATATATTTAAAAAATATAATTTTTATGAATATATTATTTTTTTTAAACAAAACAAAACATATTATTTATATCTTCTTTTCTAATATCTTTCATACTATACAATAAAAAAATATATGTATACTTTGTTGTTTTGTTGCATTTATTAAACATGATCAATCGTTCTCTTCTTTTGGTGTAAATGGGCATATTAAGATTAATAAAATTCAAAATTTGCCTAAAAAACATAGCAATCTAAAACCAAAAGATCCTTGTTTCATATCAACTTAACATTATTTAGTTTTAAAATTTTTGTTTCTGTTACTTACATTGTGATTTTGCCAAATGTTTAATATCTCCAATTGTAATATATATTAGAGCATAAAAATCTTTCACATGAGAGCTCAAATAATACTTTTATGATGTTGTATTTGCATAGATATATATGTGATTAAACTAAATTGACCTTAATTTAAATGAACTCTGACTCAAACATTATGAACATGTTATTATCAATTCTTTATCTTTTGTTTCTTTGACATTTTGATTGGGTGGCTCTTTATAATTTTACGGTTATTTGGCCTTGTGAAGCTTTGTAAGCCAAGCACCAACATCCACAGTGATTTGGATGAACTTCTTCTCTCCATAACAGATTGCATGTAAGTTTCTTCTGCCTCGAAGGTTCACGAATCTTAGGACTTTGATCTTTGTTTCAAGTCTTGCCTTCAGGAGAAAGGAACCGGAGCTAGAAGAAACATAATCTTAAGGCTGAATCCAAGAAGAGGTATGTGTTCCAGCGAACAAACAACCTCCTCCTTCTTATACTTAACATTGCCATCGTCAAATATTCTCCACTTACATTGCTTGTAATCGCCTAGGAAGATCTCAGAAATTAAGTAGTAAACTTCACCACCACACATAACATAGCAATGGATTTTTGAACCAAATCAAATCATCAATAGTGTTCATTACGGTATGTTTAATTGTGTCTTGGATTTGGAGAAGGATCTTGTGTCTTGGATTGGGAGAAAGATGTTTTTGAGGATCAAATGCATGGTTATGGGTAGTAGAATCAGAGATCGGTGAGTTATGAATCATATTCGGACCTGCGACCGATCTCAAGTCACATGGAGGGTTAGTCTATTACCTTGGGGCATGGAGATCGTTGTAGACATCAAGCCTTATGTCCCAATTGTCCACACTCACATTTAGTGGGAACCCATGCCTACTTGACCATTTATGTCAGCATCTTGGTTACTTTGTGCAAACATATATGCCCCCCCCCCCCCCCTCCCCCCCAAGAGGAAAAGATAAGGTAAAAACTCTTTGATGATAAAGTTCAAAAGAGACAACATGAAAGGTCGAATGGCCAAGAGCAAGACCAAAAATGGTTTCAATTCCATATTTAAAATTTAAGACAAACATAGACAATATATCAATTTTTGGTTAAAATTTGAAACTGAAATTAAAAAAAAAATCTCGATTTGAAGGAGAAAAAAAACCATAGTAATTGAATAACAATAATAATAGCATTAACAACAATATATTACAAAGAAAATCTTGCTTCTTTAACTAAGCTTGGCAAGAATATTGTTCAAACTCTAAGACCGTTTATGTGACTCTGTTTATAAGTAATACTTCTCAGCGTATGGGCTGCTCTTTGACCTTGCCGCATAGTCCAGTTTCCACACAAAAAACAACAATCTTAGATCAATCTAAACATTAGAAAGAATTTTATGCATTAAAACACTCTAATTTATTCACCAAGAAACGAAGAGAAAATAAAAATCTAAAGAAGAAAAAACCTATGCTGGCGATGCTTTGGAAAAGCTTGTCGGTGAGTCTTTGAGGCTTTATTTCTCTTCATTAAACCTAGTGGATATAATGGTATTAAAGATCAACACGGAGATACGATGCTCTCAAATGGAAGTCGTTCGTAAGGCCAAAGTTTTTTGTCGATCAGTGTCTTAACATTAATCATCTCTTTAGCAGATTCTTTGGCCCTAGCTGCAGCTTCTGTTGGTGACAATGGCTCCAAGTAAAATCTGTCTTTCAATGTCAATGAAAAGTCCCTTTCTTGGTCTGAGTTATCTGTCCCAGTTGTTTTTACACACACAAATCAAAACCACATTCAATCAAATCGAACATAAAAGTAGAACCAATATCTAGAATCAAAGTAAACATTTTTTCTCCAACAAAACTCTCAATAAAACCGTAACTTCGAATCTTCCATGACTGGTTTTTCGAAAGAGATTGGACACCTAAAACAAAAGTTGTAGAGAGAGACGTACGGCTGCCGATTGATCTAGATTGTTTTATAAACTTTGTTTTAATATATATATAGAGTTCCAAAATGGTTTAAATGATTTAAAATTTTACTTGTGGCCGCATAAATCAATTAGGTTAGTCAAAAATATTAGTAAGCTAAACATCAAATTAAAATTAGTTTAAAAAATAATTAGGTTCAATGTTTTGTGATTTAATTTATGTTAGTTACCTTTTTTAGTAAACTGATTATTTTTATGATATAAACTTGAATTTGGAAATTTTAATTAAAAAATAAAAACCAATTAAAAATTAGATTTACTAATTAATTAATTTCATTAAAAATAAATAATTTTTTTTTCTGTAAGAGGTAAAAAATAATCAACTATCATATCTTTCAATCACAGCCCAACTTGGCAATATGATATTGACAATTACACATGGTCTCAATTGGAAAAGTCGTACTTTACGTACTTGACCTACTTTATGATATTGACTTAATTTACTAGTGACGTACGTACTTGACCTACTCTTTTTGAAAAAATGCTTTGAATGTAATTAGGAATTTAAGAGAGAAGATAACGTAGCTGAGCAAAATATCAGAATTCAGAAGCAGGAGAGACTCTTTATTCAGTTGAAAATATTAGTTTTGTCTTTTAATACAGTTGACTACTTAACTTTGGAAACGCCTAACTGTTTTTTTTTTAATGTGGGTTATATAATTCGCCCTTGGGTTGCATTATATCATCACTAGGCAAAGGCATTTCGCAATTTGTTTCTCTCTTTGTAATCCTTTCCAGTAAAATATGAGAAGCATGAAGCTCTTTATTTCAATTGCTTTCAGCACTCTCGTGCTACTTGAAGCGTACAAGTTTACCGATCAAACTGATAAGCAAGCGTTGCTCGACTTCAAGTCTCAAGTTTCTGAAGGCAAAAAAGATGTATTGTCCTCATGGAACAACTCATTCCCTCTCTGCAACTGGACCGAGGTTACATGCGGCCGCAAAAACAAGAGAGTTACTGGTTTAGACCTCGGAGGATTGCAATTGGGCGGGGTGATATCGCCATCTATTGGTAATCTTTCGTTTCTCATATACCTTAATCTCAAAAATAATTCTTTTGGTGGAACCATCCCTCAAGAGGTGGGAAACTTGTTTAGACTTGAACAATTGTCTATGGGATTTAATTTTCTCGAGGGAGGTATTCCAGCGAGTCTGTTTAACTGCTCTAGATTGCTGAAGCTTGATTTATACTCAAACTATCTTGGAGCACATATTCCTGCAGAGATAGGGTCATTGACGCAGCTTACGTTTTTAGATCTTGGTAATAATAACCTAAAAGGAAAGCTCACAGCATCTCTAGGAAACTTGACATCACTCACTGGATTTAGCTTTGGAGGAAACGATTTAGAAGGAGAAATTCATGATGATATAGCTAAACTGACTCAGTTGGTGCATCTTGATATATCAACCAACAATTTCTCAGGTGTTTTTCCTCCTGGAATCTACAATTTGTCTTCACTAGACTTTTTGAATATTTTTGGTAATGGTTTTTCCGGGAGCTTGAAGCCTGATTTTGGTAATTTGCTACCAAACCTTCAAGGTTTATATCTAGGGAGTAATTTTTTCTCAGGAGAAATTCCAGCAACACTTCCAAATATCTCAAATCTTCAAATGTTGGGAATGGAGAATAATAGTCTGACAGGAAGTATTCCTCCACGCTTTGGAAAAATACAGGATTTACAAATCCTAACACTTCATATGAATTCTTTAGGAAGTTATTCTGCTGGAGATCTTGACTTTTTTGGTGCTTTAACTAATTGCACACAACTGAAGACTTTAAGTGTGGCTTACAATTCCCTTGGGGGTTTCTTGCCTACCTCTGTTGCCAATCTTTCCATGAACCTCATGGAGTTACAAATTGGAAGTAATCTCATCTCTGGAAGTATTCCTTATGACATTGGTAATCTCATAAGCTTACAAAAACTTGGGTTTGGAAAAAATCTATTGTCAGGACCACTCCCAGCCTCTCTTGGGAAGCTTTTAGAATTGGTATCATTATATCTCAACTGGAATAGATTTTCAGGAGAGATACCATCTTTTATAGGAAACATCACTCGATTAGAAAGACTATATTTATCCTATAATAGCTTTGAAGGAATCATTCCTCCTAGTATTGGTAAATGTAGCAACCTGCTGTATTTACATCTTGAGGATAATAAGTTGAATGGGACTATACCTCGGGAGATTATGCAAATTCCACCCCTTGTTTCACTAAACATGTCAAATAATTCTTTGACTGGCTCTCTACCCATAGATGTGGGAAATCTTGAAAATCTTGTTCTATTATCTGTTGCGCATAATAAACTATCAGGAAATCTCCCACAGACTTTGGGAAAGTGTCTCACGATGGTACAACTTTTTCTGCAAGGAAATTCTTTTGATGGAATCATTCCAGACATAAGTGGGTTGGTGGGTGTCAAAGAGCTTGATTTCTCGAACAATCATTTTTCTGGAAGCATACCTGGATATCTCGCAAACTTTAACTCACTGGAGTATCTCAATCTATCTGATAACAACTTTGAAGGAAATGTGCCAACAGAAGGAAAGTTTAAGAATGCTTCTATAATTTCAGTATTTGGAAACAAAAACCTATGTGGGGGTGTCACGGAATTGAAAATAGGGCTATGCTTTTCGCAAGCACCAGCAAAGGGGACAAAGCATTCCTCTCTTTACAAGAAAGTTGTGATTGGAGTAAGCATAGGCACATCTTTGATTTTGTTGTTGTTCATAGCTTTAGTTTCTCTCTGTTGGTTCAGAAATAGAAAGAAGAACAAGACCAATGAAGCAACTCTTTCCACCTTGGGGGCTTCCCATGAACGGATAAGTTATGGAGATATTCAAAATGCTACTGATGGCTTCTCTACGAGTAATTTGATTGGGTCAGGCAGCTTTGGTACGGTGTTCAAAGCATTGCTCCCAGCAGAGAACAAGATTGTTGCAGTGAAAGTTCTAAACCTGCAGATACACGGAGCAATGAAGAGCTTTATAGCAGAATGTGAATCGATGAAGGACATAAGGCATCGTAATCTTGTGAAACTGTTAACGGCTTGTTCGAGTATTGATTTCCAAGGAAATGAATTCAGAGCTCTAATATATGAGTTCATGCCAAATGGAAGCTTGGATATGTGGTTGCACCCAGAGGAAGTGGAAGAGATTCATAGGCCCTCAAGAACATTGACTCTTCTTGAAAGGCTTAACATAGCAATAGACGTGGCTTCTGTTATGGATTATCTTCATGTTCATTGCCATGAACATATAGCCCATTGTGACCTTAAGCCAAGCAATGTCCTTCTAGACAATGATATAATGGCACACGTTAGCGACTTTGGTCTAGCTCGGATCCTCGAGCAAGATTCCTTCCTCAGCCAACTTAGCTCTGCCGGAGTCAGAGGAACCATTGGCTATGCTGCACCAGGTATAATGATCACACATTTGTAATTGTTTAAAAGAAGAAAATTTGTTGCTTCAATTTTGTTTCTGTGAATTTCGGTGCAGAGTATGGAATGGGAGGGCAGATATCAATACATGGTGATGTGTATAGCTTTGGTATTCTTCTTTTGGAAATGTTCAGTGGAAAACGACCAACCAATGAGCTGTTCGGAGGAAGCTTCACCCTCCACAGCTACATCAAATCTGCATTGCCAAAGAGAGTATTGGAAGTTGCAGATGAGATGATTCTTAACAATGGACTTAGAATTGGCTTCCCTATTGTTGAGTGCTTGAAGCTGGTTTTGGAGGTGGGACTTAAGTGTGGTGAAGAATCTCCAGTGAAACGTTTGGCAATGAATGAGGCTGTAAAAGAATTAATCTCTATCAGAGAAAGCTTCTTCAGCTCCAGAAGAATAGCTAGGCATTGAAGTCTTTTATGTTCAGAGGTACTTCATATCGTTTCAAATATATGTGTTTTTTTTTCTCTCTCTCTCTATTTTCACATTCATATATGTTTGCAAAACACATTTAACGAATTCTCTATGTTATTTGCAGATAAAAGATTGTGTTACTATATTTAAGCTGTAACCTTATTTAATTGAAGAGGCTGATCTTGACGACTTAGACAGTTCCATGTAATAAAATGGTGAGTGTTTTTGTTACTTCAGTAATCAAATTATGAGTCTGATTCGAACAATACTCAGAACAAATGATTTGGTTATGTGTGTGCTTTTTATCATATTTTGTGTTGTCATGTTATTTACAGTGTTACCAGCTTTTATTTTGTTGTTTTATTGGCTTTCAAAATTCAGTTGTTGGTGCGCTTTCATCAATGGCATGTCGTGATAGTGCTTATTATAAATGTCATGTTATAACTCTTCTCATATAACTGCTTACAAGATCACATTATTATTGCTTGAACTACAAAAGTATAAGTCGATATGGACCATCCAACTAGTGACAAGTAAGTGCACTGAAACCCTTCTCATTCTCAAATCATCCCCTAAAATATCTCAAGTTATGTGTCATAATTGGTTTTATATTACAGGAAGGTGTATTTTGGAGAACACAAATGTTATGGAGAGGGAGCAAAGTACAAACAGCTGAGCCAACAGATTCTGAAGCTTCTTTATTCACAGGCATTTCCTACATAGATGGAGATCAGTGGTGCATTAAACTAACAAATACGGTTTTATCAGTTTTTAATGACATATGTAAGGATTCTAATGCCAAAATAAACTAACAAAGACGATCTTATTAGTTACTTTTAAGAAAAGATATCAAGTGTCAATTCCTTGTTCGAAAAGAAAGCAACTACAGAGCAAAGCAAAGTGTGTAAGTATAGGCAAATCTAAACTGTGAGATTCGACGTCATTAGTAACATGCGTGATCAATTTTTTTCTTCTTAGGTCACAAGATCCGGTTTTAACCTTCAAGATTGTTCAGCAGTTTGGTTAAGGATTGACCACCAGTTCTTGTTTAGGGGGTTGTACAATCAAAGCATCAAAACTTGATGTCGCAACTGTATTGTATATTGGTCTTTACTATTTTCAAGACGATAATGCGGACATAACTTAATCAAATTTTTTCATTAACCAACCATACAAAAGCAGAGCTTACAAAAAACAGAGCTTACAAAAAAACAGAGCTTACAAGAAAAACAGAGCTTACAAACAAAAGCAGACGGAGTCATGTTTCAAGTGAATCCCACGCAAACAAATTATCACAGAGGAATCCAAAGCAAGAGCTCAGAAGCAGACGGAGTCAATGTTTCATCATCAGTATAACCCAAGCTTACGGCAACAAATCATATCAGAAGAAGCCAAAACAGAATATGAGCACACAGAGAAGCTGCGAAATCGAATCGACAAGATACATATAACTGCTAGATTCTCTCATGAGTTCTCAAACCCCTCAGCCTTTTCTATACACCTGAGAATTATCCAATGGAGATGCAATGAAGGCGGTGGTAACTTGGACAATACCCAAGTCGGAGAATCATTCAACCACAGTGCTCCACAGGCTGAGTTCTCAAACCTCTCAGCCTTTATGCTTGAAGTCAGGAGCTTTCACGTTTAACTACACGTTGGTTCAGAAACATTACGGTAAAGTCGAAAAATGAACATGAGAGAAGAAATTAGAAAGAGAAATAGTGTCTTCCAAGATTTGAAGATAACACACGAACAATATATCTTACCTAGTTTAATCTGTTGTCCCACCATCTATCTGGATTCTGAACCAAGTCCTTCCAAGATTCCTCTAATACATTTTCAGGACAGCTCGCTTTTAGGAGAAGACAGTAGCAAAATGCCACATACCTTCATTATACTTTCTAAATAAAGAAACTTTACCTTCAAGTTGCTTCAGTTTTCCTTTAGGGACAAAAACATCAAAATCAAGCCCATTGCCTTGTTAAGCCACATAGAAAGCGGATTTGCTGCGAGATTCCTCATTTTTGGGTGGGGAGTTTCGCTACTCTCGAGTGGTAAAGTGACGAAGACAATGCTCTTGTCAATGTTCTAGAGATCAAATTCATAATTGCACTCCAAAAGAGAGTCTGATTCCATCTCCGATGTGTTGCCGGAGAAAATTTCAGGGAGGGAAAACCTAGTGAATCGGAAAATTAAGCTGCCTGACAGAATCGCGAAATTAGAAAAGCTATAAATTTGTTTCCGCGCCAAATGGGTTTAAGGGAAAACCCAGTGAATCGGAGCTCTGCTATGATATTTTTTGATTAAAATTGTTGAGTATTAAATTCTGGTAGGCCTTAACTTTAGCTTCACAGGCCCAATAGAGCTATTGAGGCATTTGATTTTGGAGTCATGTAGTGTTTTTTTTTTTTGGTAACGATTCGAGACATGTACTTGTGAGCTACAAAATAATTTATACGAGTGTATTTTTAATCTCTCGTTTTAAAATTTTAGTTTTCTCATCCATCTTAATTTGTTGTATTGCGTGTATGACTCAACAATCCTCTATATTGTTTTCTATATGTATATTATAAAAATGTACTCAGATGATCTAAGCGTTGATAAGTCAAAATATTAGCTCGAAATCTTTAAAAATGTCGTAATCTCATGGCTGTCACAGCAGCTGAAATTTGTTCAAGTTTAGAGAGATAGAGATAGAGAGAATTTTGTTGACTATTCTTACAACTTTTGTATATAATATCGATTCTCTCAAATCTTGTTACATAAGCAAGGAACAAAAGCGTTTCAGTTTTCTTAGCTTTGTAGAGAAGCCATGAATCGAGAAACATTAGTATAATGTAACGTTCAATATATATTTTATAAAATTGTTTTCGTTTATGATTTATGTTAGTATGTTATTTAATTAACTCATTTGTTCTTGGTACGGTTTAGGTACACTAAGTGGACGAGAAGATAGCAGTATAGAAGTAAATCTGTAATAAAAATTTAGCAATTACTCACCAGCATTAAGCGACAAGCCCATATGAGTAGGTCTGAGACTTTGGAAATAGCAACTCAGATAGTGAATGTCATTCTCACCTCATATTCCTGAACTATGGTCGATGAAAAGACTCCCCACAGTAGCATACATAATCAAGAAAGCAATACAATGAAAGTTTAGTCTATGCATAGTTTATATAGTAAAGCTTTTAAGTTTTTGAAAATTTAAGCAAAATCTAAATTTTATTTTTACCTTTGAAAGAACGGATCCTAACAATATTAAGGTAAGCTAGCGCTTTGATGATGTCATTAGGAGTATCTATGTGTCCCCTATGAAAAAACTCCTTTAACTGATGAAGATTAAAATTCGATGCTTTCTTTATAATAATCTTGAATTTTCTCTTCCTGCTAAAATGACAGTCATCAAGCCAAAAACAATAAGAAAAAGTTCAGTTTCTATCATTAAAAGGCTTAACCCATCTACAAAGAGTTTAATAAGTCTCACCTAGATGCAGAACTATCGCCTTCTCCGTCATACAAGTCAAAAATAAAAAATTTGGTTTGAAATGGAAAATCATTATATATATATATATATATATATTTTTTCGTTAATGATCTATGTTAGTATACTATTTAATTAATTTGTCCTTACTTCGTGCAATTTAGGTACATTGAATAGACGAGAAGATGGCAGCATTCCATATTATAAATCTGTAATCAAAAAGCTGGTTACTAAAATAAAGCAAAATCAATATAACATGAAAAAAATTATAAGTTTTTGTTCTTTTTGTTATATCATTTGAAGTTTGTCCACTTATACATAATTAACGTAAAGATAACAAATCCAATGATTTTTCAATTGTCAATCTATTTGCAATTATAGTTGATTTTGTAGCGTAAATCAAACTTATACAAGAAATAAGTTGTAATATTTTTTTTTTTTTCATAAATTTTTAACCCAAAAAATATCGATCAAATAATACTACAAATGGTCTAAAAGCAACTGTTACCCAAGTCGGCTTACTATATTCAGTTTCCACATTCAAATTTGTCAGAGATTTTGACCATAGGGTTTAACATTTACTAAAAACTTTTGTTAGTTTATAAATTTTTAACAATAGACCTAATTTAATCGTTGACTAAGAGAAATTTTCAATTGACCCTTTATACGTACAGCAGATCATGTGTGTTCTATAAGACTAAAACTAACATAAAATTGGTGGAGTAAATGTTATATCAAGGAATAATGGTAATGTTTGCAAATTCTCCTTTTTAAAAGCAAACTGTAATTGTAGGATTTACGTCATTCGGCATTTATTAATTCTAGGACATAATTCTCATCAGTTTTTAAGCCTTTTTCATAAATATAAATATCGTGAATGACATAAAATCCGCCGGCCAATTAACATCTTTTTAGGGTGATGAGAATTTAGAATGGAAATGGTAATGTTAATGATTAGTATGTCAAATAATAACGTAGTGATAGGGATAAAGAAATAATAAAACAACGGACACATTTGAGCCGTACAATTTTTTTGGTTGAATAACTATGAATGACCATAAAGATTAATGCATGTTTATGATAAATTCTCTTTATTTCCCAATACACAGAGAGACAAGCCAGGATAACTTTAGCTCCAACAGCTCCACCAATTGACCTAACGAAAATCATTTTCATTCAAGAAATGAGAAGAAACTCATCCCACATGTTTCATTCTCGGAGAGTAATTAAAAGCTAAGGAACTAGATCTCACCAGCCTATTAAAGTGAACAATGCCAAAATAATCACTACCGGAACAAATATACTTGCAACCTGAAAATGAGACAAGCCAGCATAATTTCATTTCCCAGTTAAAGATTATATCACAAACGAACAAGTAATAACACATGTTTGTTTATAAAGTCTACTTACATAGTCCGCAAATTTCTGGACAGGAGCTTCAGACATTTGGGCCGTCTCGACCAAACTAATGATCTGGCTCAGAACTGCATCAGATCCCACTTTTGTAGCTTTCATGTGAAGAGCACCATGCATATTAATAGTACCCCCGATCACTGGCGATTCAACCTCTTTTGACACAGGAACTGATTCACCAGTCACCATACTTTCATTCACATAACTTGAACCCCAAACCACAACACCATCTGCAGGGATCTTTCCTCCAGGAAGAACTTCTTAGGATTTTCAAGCAGGTGCTTCCAAGCATTAGAGGTTTCTTCACCCATGACTGTAGCCGTCTTAGATCTTGCTGAAAACTCGAACATAAACTTAAAAGGATCATGTTGAGTAAAACAATGTAAAGGAAGAAAGAAAGCTAGCTCCTAAGAGACTTGATCACGACCGACCAATTGAAAGCATCAGAAGAACACAACATAAGTATATCTCATAGCATCAACATTAATAACAAAGGACATACGACATATAAGGCTGCTCCTTGGTGCTGATTTCTTCAATTTCAGGTGGTGGGATCGTAGCCTCTAGGAAGCTGAGATTCTGAACCATAATCTGTGTTGGACGACCTTAATACTGTATTATGAATCCAAGGAACTATTCATATGTGATTCAAAGTGACGACCAAGGACAAAAAAAAGAGATTACGAATCTTCAAACTTGTGAACACTCAAGCTCTTTTTTTGTTTAAAAGGTCACCTGGACATTGGATTGAAGATACGCCACGTTCGTAGGAGTCGAATCTATAAAGGGCTTCCCGGAAAATATGAATCCGGTCGTCTTTCTTTACATGGAGAGCTGCGATTTGAGCTAAATATAATCGGAATCCGGCAAAAAATCACACTAACTATCAAACACACAAGAACTTCGAAATTAGATGATTTCAAACCGGAGCTTTGAGAGATAACGGTTCCAGCCCAGGATTTTCCGTCGGAATAAGACCGAAATTGAACGGGTTGATCGGCGAATCCAACAAGGTTGACCAAATTCGCTGTTTCCGGTTCGCGCTCAATCATCTTCGGCCGAGCCAAATCTTTCTCCGCCGCAACATCCGTTGTTTTCTCCCATGCTTCAGTCACGGTTGAACTTCCTTCGCCGCTGATGGTGGCCGTGTATAAGCGGAAGATTACCCATTTTTGGGTGGGGGGGTTTCGCTACTCTCGAGTGGTAAAGTGACGAAGACACTGCTCTTGTCAGTGTTCTAGAGATCAGATTCATTATTTCACACCAAAAAGAGAGTCTGATTCCGTCTCAGAGTTCCGGTGATGTGTTGCCGGAGAAAATTTCAGGGAGATGACAGAATCGCGAAATTAGAAAAGCCCTATATTTGTTTCCGCGCCAAATGGGTTTTTGGGAACACCAAAGAGTATCGGAAAAATACTCTGTTAATAATGTTTTTTGATTAAATTATCGATTATTTAATTCTGGTAGGCCTTAACTTTAGCTTCACAGGCCCAATAGAGCCACTGAGCCATTTGATTTTGGACTCATGTAGAGTTTTCTTTTTTTGTAACGAATAATGAGAGAGTTACTTGTGAGCTACAAAATAATTTATACGAGTGTTTTAAATCTCTCATTTTAAATTTTTTAGCTTTCTCCTCCATCTTAATTTGTAGTGGTTACTTGTACGACTCAAGAATCCTCTGTACTGTTTTTCTATATGTATATTATAAAAATTGTACTCAAATCTAAGCTTTGACAAGTCAAAACTTAAAACAGAGATTAGCTCGAAACCTTTTGAAAATATCGTAATCTCATTGCTTACAGCTAAGATTTGTTTAAGTTTAGAGAGAGAGGGAGAGAGAGTTTTGTTGAATATTCTTACAACTTTTGCATACAATATTGATTCTCTCAAATCTTATTACGCAAGCAAGGAACAAAAGTGTTTTAGTCTTCTTAGCCGTGTAGAGGAGCCATCGAAAAACATTAGTACAACGCTCAATATAATATATAATGTATTTGTTAATGATTTGTGTTACTATATTATTTAATTAACTCGTCCTTTCTTTGTACGGTTTATGTACATGGAGTAGACGAGAAGATAGCGTAATATTAACATAGGATCCAGTCTCATCAGGTAATGTTACGATCAAGGCAACTGTGAATATCTACAAGTGCATCCTTGATTCTTTGAGGCAAATACTCAGATTGCGGTACAACTGGTTGCGCATTAATTTTCTGGTTGTTAGTGAATTTTTTGGTATGAAGAAATCGTGATAACAAGTATCCAAAAGCATGCAACAAGTCAGAGCATTCCTTTACTGATGCAAATCCTCATCATAACGCTGCAGAACTCCTGAACTTTACTTATAGGAAAACTCATCGAGAAGCTTACACATGACCAAGAAGTAATCTTTGATCCATCAACCATTCTTTAGAACATCGAGGAAACAGCCAAAGCAGGTAAGTATAAGACTTATCAAAAGAAGAATATGTACAAGCATGCAAGTGCCTACAAAGAGCAGAAAAAGGAAATCTTGTGATATTCAATTACAGTTTTACCTTATCATTCATGTCCCATTTTCCCAATGAGAAACAAAATCTCGCCATGAGGACCATTGAAAAGAAACCATAAAACGATCAACCAAAAGTAATCACAAAAATGAAGTCTAAGAAAAAATCATCGTAGGGGGAGGAAGTAGACGAGCCTTAACTGAGGCTAGATCTTTAGTCACTGAAATCTTAAACTCCCCTCTCACAACTTTGTTTTGGTTAAAATTATTGTTCTCGACCCACTAATAACAGAAGCAATAAATGTGATGGTGAAAACAAAGCTCTTTTGTTTCCAATGGAGGAAATGTTGTAAAATGAGATGCAAAAATGGACTAAAGATACTCCTTTGATCGTGTTCTGTCTCTCCATAGGACCGTTCACACTTAGCAATGCATTCACTTGATTCTTATTGAACATTTCCTTGTATCGTTGGCCTTTAGAAATTCTACAGAGCTGCACAATCCATAGATAGTCAGACCTTAAGATATAAAAATGAATTTGAACATATTATGAAAGTAAAAGAGTATGTTCAAATTTAGGTCATATTTCCATCGAAAAATACTTAGACCTTTTGTCGCTCCCTATTGGCATAGCAGGGAGGAACGAGTATTGTAGCACCACATGATTATATGTTTCAGTAATGCATTGGGATATTGTAACCTCTTCATCAGCGCCATCTACAGTGAATCTGAAATGAATATGAGGTAAAACCAAAAGATAAGAAACCTATTCCAAAAAAATGCAACAAAATAAAGTCAAAATCTGCACTTTGCTAATGTTGATTAAAATGAGCAACTTCACCTTAATTCGCTGATGGGACATCTGGAAAACCCAGGTTGTTCAAAACTCTCTTCACCTATAAACCAACATACAATTTACAAGACAAGAATCATTTATGATAATTGCATCATCTTCTATAAGGTCATATTAATACTTTGCGTTGCTCTGCGTAAGTAAGTTGTCTATTGAAGTTCTTGAGATTCAAAAACTTTCTGATAAACTCAGCGACACTAACTGGTTCAAAAAATGATCCGGGTGAAATATATACATCATAAGAAAGGAAAAAGAACACAACTCATCAGAAAAAATGTCCACTTCATGATAAAATTTAGCAATTACTCACCAACATTAAGCGACAAATTCATATGAGTAAGCCTTAGACTTTGGAAATAACGACTCATATACTGAATGCCATCCTCACCCCCACATTCTCGAACTATGGTTGATGAAAAGACTCCCCACTTTAACATACCTAATTAAGAAAGCAATACAGTGAAAGTTTAACTAGTCTATACAGTAAAGCTTAAGCTCTTGGAAACTTACCGAAATCCAAATTTTCTTTTTACCGTTGAGAGGGCCGATCCGTTAGAACAATATTTAATATTTAAGCAAAATCAATATATATATATATATATATATATGTTTTCGTTAATGATTTATGTTAGTATATTATTTAATTTTTCTTTTTGTTCAAGTATATTATTTAATTAACTTGTCCTTTCTTCGTACGGTTTAGGTATATCGAGTAGACGAGAAGATAGCAGCATTCCATACTGTAAATCTGTAATTAAAGAGCTAATTACTAAAATAGAACAAAATGGAAATAACATGAAATAAATTCTAAGCTTTTGTTCTTGATATTATATCATTTGGAGTTTATCCACTTATACATAGTTAACGTAAAAATACCAATCCAATAATTTTTCAACTTTCAGTTTATATGAAATTATAGTTGATTTTGTAGCGTAAATCAAACTTATACAAAAAGTAAGTTGTAATAACTTTTTTACTTTCATAATTTTTTAATCCAAAAATATCGATCAAATAATAAACAAATGTTCTTCTAATATGTGAAAGGACTCCCCAACATCAATTGATACCCAAGTTGACTTACTATATTCAGTTTCCACATTCACATTTGTCCAAAATTTTGACCATAGGGTTTAACATTTACTAAAAACTTTTGTTAGTTTATAAATGTTTAGTGAAAACAAATAAACCTATCTTAATCATTGACTAAGGAAAATTTTCAGTTGACCCTTTTATACGTACAGCAAATTATGTGTGTTCTATAAGATTAAAACTAACATAAAATTGGTGGAGTAAATGTTATATCAAGGAATAATGGTAATGTTTGCAAATTCTCCTTTTTAAAAGCAAACTGTAATTGTAGTATTTACATCATTCTGCATGTATTCATTCTAGGACATAAATCTCATCAATTTTAAGCCATTTTCATAAATAAAATATCGTGAATGACATAAAAAACCGCCGGCCACTTAAAAAAAATTATTGATGTGTTTTTTAAGCCAACCAAGTTTGAAACAAAAACCAGCCACAGTCCAACCACTTGTAGCAACAGGTTAAAACTTAATCTCGAAATTGTTACATTGCTTAAATATATTGGTTGAGACTATAAGGAGTTTCATATCATTTATTGGTAACATTTCATTATCAAAATAGAAAAGAAATAATATATAATTTACTTGACTAAGTCGTAAAACTTCTCGTTGTCAGTCGAGTATAAGTCCTTAGTTTTATATATGTTCAAAGAACTAATCCTGATTTCATTTGTACTTGTTATTCATTTCTGTCACATCTTTAATTATGAGATAAATGAATAAAACGTAATTAATCTAGTTAAGCATTCAAGAATTACCGTAGAGTTTCGATAACATCAAAAGTATCATACATCATAAATTCCATATATATATAATCAGAAATTGAGATCTCTCATCATAATCTCTTCCAACGATAGCGGATCATGGTAAAAATCATCATAACCCATGTAATCCACTCCATTAAAACTACTATTTTCCAAGTATTCCCTCACAAGATCATCACCATCTTCGTGATGATTATCATGATGGCCATAAGCATAATGATCACCACACCCACCATAAAGCGCACAGTCACTTAGTTGGCTCATCTGATTATATGACGCCGTTTCCTTACCCTCCCGCTTCATGGTCACACTCACGTGACTCTCCCCATTGCCCACGCGCCTATCAATGGCACGATCGTAAGTTTGGATATCACCGGAGCGAGGAAAAATGACTTCTTTCGACACCGAAGCCGGCGACCTGAAATCTAACGTCACCGGACCTTTTCTTCCGACGGGGACATCAATGCCGGTATAACGTCCAGTGAATTTCTGAACTAAGGCTCGGAAATTGCTAGGGTTAGCGTTGAGGAGCGTCGTGGGCGTAGTTCTTCTTGATCCCTTATTTTGAGGGTGATGATAATTTAGAACGGAAATGATAATGTTAATGATTAGTATGTCAAATAATAACGTAGTGATAGGATAAAGAAATAACAAAACAACGGACACATTTGAGCCAAACAATTTTTTTTTGGTTGAATAACTATAAAAGACTACAAAACTAGTAGTTTTTTTTTCTTTGTAGATTAATGCATGTTTATCATAAAATATCTTTTTAACGTCAATTTTTTTTATGAATGTAAATGGTAAGAAATAGTGGAATTATATTTATTTTTAAAAAAAATCAAACGGTACGGAGGAAACTACAAAACTTACGTGAAAAAAAAGAATAGGTCGTTAATTAACAAATACTTACGATATTTGTATGATATGTTTTGGAACATATATATACCTTAGATGACCGTCGTCGTCTGACAGCATCGCAAATCTGTGCTTCGTAGGCGATAAGGGTAGACTCCGATGATGACGTCATTACTACGGCGTTACTAGACGGAGCTGCCGATTGTGGTAATTGATGTTGTTCACAGTGTAGTAAATATTGGTCTCCGCTAAAGTTATTACTATTATTATTCATTTTTTGTTTGTGTGTAATTTACATGTGTTTTATTTTCCTCGTGCTTTAGTTTGCAAAGACGCTAAGCTAAATTTAGTTGCATGGTTCATTTAAATGTGGAGCCGTGCAGGAAGTAGAGGTCGTTGACGTTGACAATTCTACTATAGTTTTATAATAACAATTCGCATTTGCATTTTTTTACACTGATCAATGTAGGCTTCTTGACCACGTACGTATATAGAATTCGAGAAACAAGGGGTCCACGTTCAATGTTCAAGACATCCAATCTAAATAGCCAGATAAATTCGTAAGATCTGTATATACATATTCGTGTTGTTATTACATATCAGGCAATATAATATATAACTGATCTGGATGTAATGTAAAAATTTGTTAATAAAAAAAAAAACTTTGGATGCAATATATATTTTTCAAGGAAGCAACACATGAACATGATGATGAGAACATCGATGATGGTCTCATAAGAGACTTGACTTAGTAAATCTAAAGATGCTCTGATCTTTCTTTCTCGAGAGATCTTTGTTTTTTGGGGTAAACCGTGTCTCTAGATCTTTCACCGGTCAATACAATACAACTATGTTAGAATAGCATATTTTCATTTGATATACATTAATCCTCTTACCGGTACGCATCAAACGCAATAAATGGTCTAAGAATTTTTTTGGTTAAATGGTATAAATGTTAGGCATCGTTAAATACAAAAACGACGATTTGATTGTAGCCTTGTAGTTGTATTCATTATCTATATGAAATTTGATTATTTTGCTTGAAAAGATTGTTTTTTTTGTTAAGGGCCAATGTTAATATCTAATAGTAAAATTATTATCGATTTGCCACAAATAAGTTTATAATTGGATTTCTTATTTTTGTTTCTAAAATTGTAACTGGTTCTCACTTAATTTCACAATTAGCTTCATATATTTGGATGAAAAATGTAAGGGTTTGATTACGTTTTATATTGGAATTGTGACCCGAGGAAAGAAAAAAAAATGTATTCGATTTCCGATAAAACAATCCATTTACGGTTATGTGAGAGAGAATTTTAAAAAAAATTCACTAATTTTCTATTTTATTACATCAGTCGACAAGTCCAAATACATCTTAGAGAGAAACCATTTTTTATACAACAAAGGCCGAGAAATTATCTTACATACAGAGAGATAAGAAACATCTCAAGACCAAATATATCATGGATGATTACATGATTACAACAACAAACATTAGAAACAAAACAAAAAAGTAAATACAAATTATTTCCTCCTTTACTCAAAACAAAAGTAATCACTCCAAATCCCAAGAAAAAAGAAAAGAGATTTACTCCTTGGTGATCTCCAAAATAGTGGTAAGCCTTGGCTTCTTGTATCTTCTAAGAAGCAAAGAAGAGCAAACAACACTAACCGAAGAGAGTGCCATACACGCTCCGGCGGCCCACGGCGGCAATTGCACCCGCAGAAGCGGGAAGAACACTCCCGCCGCTATCGGGATCGACACTACATTATAAGCCATGGCGAAAACGTAGTTTAACCGGATTCTTGTTAACGTTTGCCGTGAGAGATCGATGGCTGTTATAACGTCTTCCAAGTTGTTCCTCATCAGAACGTAATCCGCCGCTTCTATCGCTACATCCGTCCCCGCGCCAATCGCCATCCCCACGTCGGCGGCAGCTAGAGCCGGCGAGTCGTTGATCCCGTCTCCGACCATAGCCACCGTGCTTCCGTCCTTTTGTAGTGAACGGATAACTTCGGCTTTCCCTGCGGGCATTACTTCCGCTCTCACGTCTTCTATACCAACCTGAAGTCATGTCCACCAGAATAAAACCGTTAATGTTAACCGAACCAAACCAGACCAAACCGAACCCAACAAAGGGTGAATTGGAGATTCTCTAACCTCTCTGGCTACTGCTCTTGCTGTTCTCCAGTTATCACCTGTAACCATTATAGGTCGGACACCCATTCTAAGGAGACCTTGCACAACCACAGCAGCTTCTCTCTTAAGCGGATCGGCGATTCCCATCACGCCGACTAGTTCGCCGTTATAGGCTACAATGACTCCGGTCTTTGCGCTTTCTTCAAGTTCCTCGACAAACTTCTCGACGTGTTCCGGGATGGTTACGGCGTTTTCCGACATGAGTTTACGGTTTCCCACCTGATAAAAGAGAAGAAAAAAGAAAACTTTCTTTAAGTTGTGGAAACTACAGATCCAGGCGCAAGAAACTGATAATATATGGGAATAAAACACCAACCAGAATCAACTTCTCATTGACTAAGCATTGGATTCCTTTTCCGGGAAGAGCAGAGAAATCAGAAGTATCGAGTAACCATCCGGAGTTTTGAGTCTCTTTGCTACCTGTTTCGCCGTCGTCTTTGGATTCATCAAAGAAGTGGAAATGCCGAGCGTAATCAACTATAGCTTTTGCCAATGGGTGTTCACTGCTAGCCTAAAGAGATTTAAAGAGACGCTTTAGTAACCGTTTATATATATAATCACTAACAATCCAAGAAGTTTTATCTTTTACCTCAGCAGAAGCAACGAGTGTGAGGAACTCTCCACGGTCCATCTCCGAGAAGACTTTCGCGGTTGTCACGGTGGCTTTCCCTTGAGTTAAGGTTCCTGTTTTGTCAAAGATTACATATTTCACTTTGTGAGCTTTCTCCAATGCATCACCTCCTTTGATTAATACACCATTGGTTGCTCCAACTCCGGTTGCCACCATAACAGCGGTCGGTGTTGCCAAGCCGAGTGCACAAGGACAAGCGATCACCACAACGGATATCGAGAACATAAGCGAGAAGACAAAGTGAGTCCCGTTCTTCGGCAGCCATTCGTCTGGGTAAGCTCCAACAGCTCCACCTATTGACCTAACAAAATCATTTTGATTCAAGAAAATGAGAACAAACTAATCACACATGTTTTCATTCTCGGAGAGTAATTAAAAGCTAAGGAACTATATCTCACCAGCCTATTAAAGTGAACAATGCCAAAATAATCACTACCGGAACAAATATACTTGCAACCTGAAAATGAGACAAGCCAGGATAATTTCATTTCCCAGTTAAAGATTATATCACAAACGAACAAGTAATAACACATGTTTATAAAGTCTACTTACATAGTCCGCAAATTTCTGGATAGGAGCTTTAGACATTTGGGCCGTCTCGACCAAACTAATGATCTGGCTCAGAACTGCATCAGATCCCACTTTTGTAGCTTTCATGTGAAGAGCACCATGCATATTAATAGTACCACCGATCACTGGCGATTCAACCTCTTTTGACACAGGAACTGATTCACCAGTCACCATACTTTCATTGACATAACTTGAACCCCACACCACAACACCATCTGCAGGGATCTTTCCTCCAGGAAGAACTTTTAATAAATCACCAGGCTGAATCAGTAATGCATCAATCTCTCTTTCCCCCTCAAGCTTTCCTCCTAAAAAATGGAAGAAAGAACTGCTTAAACAGAGTTGACTAGTTGATGTTGTTAGTTTTTTCTATAGATTTCACAATCATTGATCAAACGATTCTCATCAGGAGCATTTTAGGAAAGGACAAGTAAAAGTACCTTTGCCTTCGATTAGCAAAATCGCTGTTGCTGGAGTAAGTTGTACTAGCTTCTTCATAGCATCTGAGGTTTTCCCCTTTGCAAGAGATTCCAAATATTTCCCCAGCAAGACGAATGTTATCAGCATGGCGCTTGCATCAAAGTAAGTTGGAGACCAAAACCCAGTGACTGCCCCATATAAAAGAGCAGCAACAGAGTAGAAGTAAGACGCTGAAGTGCCCAGAGCGACCAGCACATCCATGTTAGTTGATCCATTTCGAAGAGCTCTCCATGCCGCAACATAGAACCGCTTGCCAATAACAAACTGAATAACACTTACCAACGCCCATTTCAACCAATCACCGATCATGAACGGTCCACATCTCCATACCAGCACCGTATCGAAAAGAGCAATGTGAGGGCAGATTACTTGGATGAAGAAGAGAGGAATCTGGATTCAACAAAATCAATTTTTTCATTAATGACATTAAGTTAACAGAATCAAAACCGTTGAAATGACATCATAGAGTAGAGAAGTTTACTCACACTGAGAGAAAGACTGGAGATAAACCGGCGAAACATATTCGAAGCCTCTCCAGTATCTTTCGAAGTCAACCTTTCGTAAGGGCTCATGACACGCAACTTAAACTTCCCATACCCTTCTCCTTCAATCCCATCAACCAACGATCTCGAACTCACAACTTCCGGATCAAACACAATCTCAAGCTCCCCTGAGATCCTGTCAAGACGAAACTGTCGAACACCATTCAACCTTGTAAGTATACCTTCAAGAACCTGAGCATCAAGCTCGTTCAAGATGCCGTCGACACTCAACATAAGTTTGTCCTGCTGATTGCTCTGCACAAGCGAACCTTCAAAGCCAGCATCTTCGATCGCGTTAACGATATCATCTTTGTTGATCACGTTTGGATCATACTCAACTTCTCCTAAAGATGTAGACAAAGCCACCACTGCTCTTTTCACTCCGGGAAGATCTCTAAGAATGCCTTCGACAGAGTTAACACAAGCTGCACATGTCATGCCTCCGATTGTAAACTGACCAACTAAAGTAGCTTGTGCCTTTGTCCCGGAAGCAACAGGCTCTGCCAAAATCTCTGCCTCGAATCCAGCATCCTCTATAGCTTCTTTAATGTCCTCTTCCTATAATAACAGACACAATTAAATGCTTCAATCAGAAGAAAACAAAGAAATAAATATCAAATCCTGGAAAAAATAACGCGCTTAAGATCTAAACTTGGGATGATCTTAAAAATCCACCTAATTAGATATCCCAAAGTAGCAACATTTGTATTACTTTCCCAAAACAAGCAAGCGAATTTCAGCAAGAAATTTATAATAAATCCGTCGGAAATTGAAGAGAAATTAGAGGGGATTTTTAAAATGGAAGCAGTTAATTAAAAAGAAAAACCTTGACTAAATTCGGGTCGAAGACGACATCGGCTCTGTTCTGCAACAAAGCAACAGAGGCTCTGAAGACGCCATTAACGCTCATCAAAGCTCCTTCGACGGAATTAGAACAAGCAGCACAAGTCATACCGGTTACTCCGACCTGAATCTTCCTCAAACCGGAATCTCCACTTCCACCTCCTTCCTCGATCTTACTCAAAAGACCTGCGCTCTCATCGTCGTCATTATACGAATCCAGAAGACGAACTTCCTCCATCGCACCGATCTCCGCAGCCGAAGATCCAAGGCCGTCTCCGGTGATCGGAGTAAGCTGTAAATCCCGTCTACTCGGCGCCATTTCCGGTGAGATTCCGACGTCAAGCAGACGGAGAGAGAATCGAGCAAATCGAAGAAGGTGAAAGGGGAAGAAAATTCTCCGAAGATGATGGTTTGAATTTCAGAGACCCATTTTTTGCTTTTTATGTAGAGAAGAAATAATAATGGAGGATTTGCTTTTGTGAGAATGGAGAAGGAAAAAAAGAAATTAAAACAATTAAAGGAAAAGAAAAAAAAAAGAAAGAACTCAAAGGTTATTTCTGTAGATAGAGAAGGTGGAGAAAGCAATTTGTCAACTAAAACACGCACCTGATTATGACAATATTACCCCTTAGCGAGTGGGGTTATTACATATAACGACCAAATAAAGAAAGAAAAAACAAAGCTATTTATTTACTGGCAGGGAGTATCCATGAAACTCTTATATAGGGAGAACTATTATTTTTGGTAAAGAAAAATGGAGTAAAAGAAGAAAAAGAAGAAATTGTAAAACATCGCCGTCTGTGGGGATCGAACCCACGGCCACGGGATTAAAAGTCACGCGCTCTACCACTGAGCTAAGACGGCTTTGATACACAGAAATGTATGTTACCTTTTAATAACCTTACTAAAAGTAAGTATTATATTATTATCGTACGTTGATAGAAAACATGTTATTATTTTATTATGGATAAAAAGAGTGGGAGAAAACCTATATGACTAGTTTTAAATTTGTAAATAGAATTTGTGACTTGCTACTATATTTTATTTTATAAAAAAGACTTGCTCCTACTTTACATTTTTATCCGTATAACTTCTATCCAATTGAAACTATTTTTTCACTCATTAATTTTCGTAATTATTTTCGTTAGTTTTAAAATTATTTTATCAACTAAATAACACATCTATAAATTAATAATCTATATAAATCATAAATTACATAATCCTAACATTATTAATTTATAAAAGTTTTACTATAATTTTTTTAAATTTTCTTTCCATTTATTAGTTTTTGTTTGTACAAACCGTTTGAAAATAAAATTTAAAAGTCTTTATATAGTAAATTTATTTGACTAGATCATAAAAATAAATATTGAAAATAAAATTGATCGCGAGAACTTTTAGATCCTCATCCAATTGTACTCCATTTGAGTTTGATATTCATATTCTTAGAAACATATTAAATGACATTTATTGTTGATTTCGATGGGCCTTGTTGAATCTTTTATCATATATACTCATTCAAAACAAGTACATAATAAGTAATTATTATTTGACGTCGTACGTCGTCTACTAAATGATTTAATTTCTAGATTCAGCATTATAGATTCACAGACTCGTAGTGGTAGACGAACAAAAAAAAGACACCATCATAATGGTAAATGTAATTTTTTGGCACATAGCTCTTTGTGTTTTTCTATAGCAAATTAGTTATAACAACTATTTTATTTCCACAACTAATTTACTAGTAATACTACTTTTGTGGGAAAAGATGATTCATTGGATCTAGTCCGATTCCAATTAGTGGTGGACTTGTGGGATATAGTTTGAATTTTTAAATAGTACTAAAATAAATGCGAGTACAAACTATCAATTTATACACAGATAACATGTGGTTACAATCCAGAAGTTACATATTCATTCATATACGAATTATAAAAAAACTAGTATCATATATATATGTAGATTTAAGAAGATTTAGTTGTTTTTGTTGGCCTCATTTTACATCCATAGTATTTTCAAAAATCGCATTTCCTGTGATTTGTCGATATACTCTTTTCTTTTTGCTACAGACAACAAAATTTATGAAAAAATTGAAAAATGAAAAGTAAGTAACTCTGAAATAGTTAAGTCAGTTCGGTTTTGTTGGAAATGTGACTTCCACTCCACTGATCAAAAGCCAATACACCAAATATACTTTTCCTGTGTCTACATCATAATGCTTTCTAAGAACAAAATTAAACACACAAGAAAAACAAAGGAAAAGATAATAACATTGGAACCTTCCACTTATAAATGGTCAAGAGATAAGCTTTGACCTAAAAGTATAGTTTAAGTAATCACAAACGTATAGTACATATATTCTTTGACCTAAACGCATAATCCAAGTAGTAATCATCAAACAAATTAGAACGGTGAAAAAAACATAGTTCTACTCTTTTTTTTGCTAACATATAATTATACGTTCTCAACAAAGAAATCATTTGACTCATTTTTTTCCCATTATTATAAACAAAAAATTCCTTGTTTATCAGACAGTAACCAATGACATCAGTTATGTGCTGTTTTAAAAATTATTATATGTGTCTTTCATTTCCTTTTTATCACTGTTATCTTTTCGTTTTTAATTACGCTTTTCCTTTTTTTCTGAAAGCAAGTCTCACGTAGTTTCAAAATATACGTTATCATGTTTTAAAAATATAATCTTTAATTGAAATAGTTTAGTAAAAAAAAAAGAATAATTGAAATAAGAAAAGTATCTATTAACAAAAGGATTTGCATCAGCCAAAAATTACAAAACACGCATCAAAAGCTTTGTTTGGTGCATGACCTACCTACCAAATTAAAATTTAATTAAATTTGCCTTTATAAATCTCGTGTGCATCTTTTTACCTCATTAAAATGAGTTTAGTATACAAAAGAAAAACAAAAATGGTAAAGTTTTCGCAAGTCAAAGGCAAGTAATGTTATACCATAATGATGTCAAAGAAATTAGGTTTTAGGTATTAGGTGTATCGCATCCAAAACCAGACAAGCTTTTAAAGTATTCTTGCTTGATGTCTTAAAAGCCAATCCCATTATTTCAAACTCGCGATTCTACTTATTTAATATGTTCATGCGTTACATTAAATTAAACGCAAACAAGGAGAATAAAAGTCAAGAAGTCGTTGAACATAGTCAGGGGTAATCTAGTAATGTCCTAAAACTTAAGACAAATGATCTTTAGTTGAACAAAGATTTAAGTTTAGTTGAGCTAACGAGAGTTGGTTAGTGTTAATGTGTCAAATTCTTGAGTTGGTTTTTTTTTTTGGACCAATTCTGATCAAAATCTTCGCATCAATAATGTCTCCAACCACAATCAAATTGTGGAATTCATTATCACTAAAGCATATTAAAATGTCAGGAGAAAGGGGAACCTTCTAAACTATTCAGAGTCTTTCAAACTTCTCATTCAACACATTGTCGAAAAAATCAGAGCAATGAAACAAGTAGTTATTAATACCAGTCCAAAGGGTATTACATGTAATATATAATCCGGTTAAGAGAATTCGCTAAACCGGAACCGAATTTGAATCAGAAATAAGTAAAAGCTCTACTTGTAGCATTCGACTAAGCATTACAGTCTAAAGTGTCTGGTTTTACACAATCCAAACCGACCAGTTAGATCACTAAAATAGCTTCTTCATTCTCTTACACAAAGCTTTACAAACAAAAAAATTTAGCCAAAGATAAAAATGGAAGTTCCAACAAATACATATACTGCTTCGTCACCGATTTGCGTCATACCTACAAAACTTAGTAGCGTATTGTACCGGTTTGGTTGCAAAGACCTAAACAAAGCAAACACTGGTAGCTTCAATGCAACTTCACTGAAGACTTCAATCGTCACCAGGAGAATTATCAGTCACCATCTTTATGGTCTCTTCTTCTTCTTCTTTCTCTTGTTCTGCGTCCGTGTTTGGAGTTTCAGCCTCTGTGGGTTCACATTGCTTGTTTGACGCATTATCAGATTCTTGTTCCTCTTGGTTCACATCCAAAGGCTTATCATCTGAATGAATAGGAACTTGATCATCCACGGTTTCTAAATCTGTGTCTCCATCTTGGTTGGTAGATTTTGGTTCAGAGATTTTGTTCTCTGGCGAGATTGATCTTGATGCACCAGTGATTTCCTCAAGACCTGGCTTTGGTGCTTCAGATGGCTCTGCTGCTACCATAGAATCTTCTTCAGGAGGTGGAATTTTGATTGGCTCGGAGGAAGATGGTTCTGTGATGTTTAGGTTATGAGGTGGTAAATTCGCTTGAGAGGACCCTGAAGTTTCGCCTGATGGAGGCAAAGGAGAAGTTGAGGATGTTGGTGGATTGCCTTGAGAGCTGTTTTCTACAACATTGTGGCTGCTACTAGCAATATCTGTAGTTATTTGACTCGAGTGATGTGACCTACGTTTCTTCTTCTTCCGCAGACTTTGTCTTGGATCTCTAGGAACAGGAGGCGGCGGCTCCGGTATCACAAATGGTGGAATGGTAGTAGAATCTTTACCGTATAAAACGCGGACTGATTGAGCTATAGCCGAAACTGTTGGAGGCAGAGTTGGTGGTTCCGGTGACTTTACGGCGGGAACAGTTACAGCATCCCGTAACCAATGAGGTAGCTTGTTCTCCGAAGAGCTACATCCCATAGGATTAGAGAGATTCAACACTCGGTTTGGATTAGGGAGAGATGGATTAGCTGATCTTCCCAAGAACACATTGTTGCTTGACTCAAGCATCGGAGGTAACGGCATGTCTAGAAACAAAGGTAGCTTCCCTCGCTTGATGGCATCCCGTTTCTCGTCTGCTCTCTGTGTGTTTAAGGAGCTTAAACTATCCAAACCCAATGAACCTAAGTTTCCCATCCCAAGAGAGTTGAGAGGAAAAGGCTTATCGTTGGGAATACTCGCCGATGTCCCTGATCGTTCAGATGGTCCAGCAGAAGGATCTTCAGTGCACGGGTTTGCCATAGGAGGGAAAGTCTCACTTCGAAATCCCAAGTGGTCAGATGGCTCAAACAACGGAAGAGTAGATGCTAGATCGCTGAATCCAAGCTTTATGTCTGTGAGATGAGATTGAAACCTTGGAGGAGTAGTAGCATATTTGTTCCCATGTAAAGCCCGGTTCATTATAGCTTGAGGAAGGCCAGGAAATAAAGGAGCTTTGGTGGACGTATCTGTTGTTCTGCTTGACTTAGATGGAAGAGAAGAAAGGCTATCCAAGAATTTACGCTGCTCTTCTTCCCACCTCGCTGCCAAGTACTCCGGAGATTTAAACTTAGAAAACTTTAGCCTTGGATCTCTGAGAATAGTCTCCCAGTTTCCATACCCATGTCTGCGAATCCCAATCCAGAGAGAATCTAGCTCATCCTCGGACCAGGCATCCACTCTTGTTTTCTTCTTCTGCAAGTGCCCAATTCCAGAGCCTGTTCTTAGCATTATATTCTCAAGCACTTTCCGATGGTTTTCCGGGATAGATGAAAGAGCTGATGAAAACTGATCCAAACCCAAAGGCGGCGGTAGCTCCTTCTCTTGTTGGCTGTACGCAGGTGGATCCATAGGAGGGATCTTCATATTTGGTAGAAATGGCATTGGTGGTACGGCGAATAGGTCTTGCATAGAGTGACCAGCACCTTCGAATCTTTTCCTCAGCGAGAGATTGGCCATGATTTCTTGATGCGAAGTTCCCATGGTTCTCGGCTGGAATGGAAACCGAGGAAGCAGCTTATCATCAAACGGTAGGTTAAGCAGAGGAAACTTCTCCTGGAAATCAGCTAAAGAAGCACCGGAACTTCGTGGACGCTCAAAATCCCCTGACGGAAGAAACTGCAATGTGCATAAGATTTAACCCAAGTATAAGTATAGAATATGTTTTATGTTCTATATGTATGTGTATGTGAAGTAGATGTGTCTAGAAGAAGCATTTGAATTAAAGGAGGGAGGGAAGGAAGTACCGGACGAAGTGGATGCCAACCATCCATATTACTAAGAGGCTGCTGAGAAGGTTCCTCCTTTACATTATGTGGCTTTGGTTTACCCATAGAAGGCTGCTCCTGGTTGTTTGCTTCCCTCTCAACCGAGCTCGATGTTTGGGGTAGATTGAAAGGAAAATGAGGTCCTGCCATGGTTCTGTTCTGTCTACTACTTGGACGAGAATAATTTCTCCTGGATGGTTCGGATTGAGCAAAGTTAGGAGCACACAGTCCAAGAACTGGAAGGTTATTTGGGGGTAAAGACGGGGAACATTCTGTGCCATGATGTTCGCTTGGAAGATCTGATGGATCTGAAGAACTGCTGGCTTTTCTTTTATGTGCATCACATTGTTGGATATCGTCCAAGTCCATCATCGCAGGGCTTTCTTCGTCATGATTAGCTGCTTCAGTTACCTGATCCACATTGCCATTAGGAACTGAATCTTCAACAGAGTTCCTTTTTGCAAGCCGATTCTTTTGCCTTTCTCGCAGCTTCGTACTGTTTTAGCAGAAAAAAAAAGATACCATTATTTCAGATCCTGATATAAGCATGAAAAGGAGCTCCGCAATTCACTTCACTCGCATATTAATATGACAAATCCAACATCTTCTAACCAAATTAACACCAATTGATATTGCTACATAATCTCTAGACTAAGTAATATATATCTGGGAAGCAAACGTGAATTCATCTACGTACTTGCAAAAGGTACAATAATGAATAAATAGACTTAGAACTTAAACTTACAACTTTTCTTTTAGGGCTCGTCCTGCAGGTGTATATTCCTTTTTAAGTTCAGGTTCAGGTTCTTTCTCATCTTCACCGCCACTCTGCAATAATTATAACATAGAACAAAGTGATAAGTGAAATGGTACATAACATAAAGGTATTCATAGCCAAGAAAGATGCTCTTTGGGGTAGAGTATAACGCTTACCTCCATTACAGCTCCACTGGTATGTGGGGCATATGCTTCTCTATATGAAACAGCCTTTCTCAAACGCTTCCCTCTACCAAGAGCTGCTTCTTCCTCGCTCTGATATCTCTCCCATCTACAAATACAGTTAGCCATAAAAATCAGCTAACTAGTAACAAGTAGTGAAAGCAAGAACATGTGCTACCAATATCATTTTGACTGAAGCATAAACAGAGCTCAGTAGCTGAACTCGGAGCAAGAGGACTCCAACCTCATACGCAGAAGCCTGTCCCATTCATTTTCTTCAATAAAATTAACTACATCATCATCTTTCCTCTCTGAACTCTGTTCACCCGTATCATCAGTCACCGGAGCAGGTGATTCAGCTCCAACTTGTTCTTCAGCTGTTTCCTCATTCCACTCCACAGGCTGTTCAAGAAGAAATATATAAACCATTACAGAAAAGCAATGTAGTAATCAGTTTGGAAAACATAATTCAACTATAGACTTTAAAGTCTTCAGGTGATAAAAGAGTCATTTGAGTCCAGTACGCTTTACTGCCTATCAAAATCAGGTGGAATATATTCTCCTACTTGAGACACATTAAATGCAAAAGAAAAAGAAAAACTTGCGTATGGAAGCCATATCAAAACAATGCATATCAGTAGTGACAAAACTAAGGTGCATTATCTCCAAGTCCTTTAGCAAGAAATACACAAGAATATGACTCCTCACCTTTACAGAGCCAAGCATATCATTCTCCAACTCAGCATCAGCGCCATCGGTGGAGGCTATTTGAAGATTTGACCGGTCAAGCAACTTCATAATTGCAACCTCATCCCAAACAATCTTCCCATTTCCATCAGTACATTTGTCCTGGTAAACATCTCCTAGGCCACCACCTTTTTTCCTGCTCTTGCTTTCTAAATCCATGATCACATCTAAGTTGCCATTACTTTCAGATGTATCTTTCTTGCTCTCACCTGCAGAGTCGCTGAAAAGTTCCTCAGTCCCCCAGCGTAGAATATCTTCGAATTCCTTCTGAGATCCGGACTTGTTTACAAAAAGCTGATCAAGCATCAACTTCTTCTTGGCGAGCTGCAATATGCGCTCTTCAACACTGGCACGGACGACAAGTCTGTATACCAAAAGCCGTTTGGATTGTCCAATCCGATGAGCTCTGTTCATGGCTTGGATATCAGCGTGAGGGTTGAAATCAGAGTCATAGATAATAACAGTATCAGCCGTTGCCAGATTGATACCAAGGCCACAGGCACGTGTCGATAACAGAAAAACAAACCGATTTTTGTCTTGGTTGAAACGTGCTATAGCTGCCTGACGATCAGCTACAGCAACAGAACCATCCACCCTTTCAAATGTTTTAGGTCCAAATTCTATATTTAGGTAGTCCTCCAGAATGTCTAGAAGCTTTGTCATCTGTGAAAATATCAGAACTCTATGGCCTTCCTTGTGAAGCACCTTAAGCATGGAGTGCAACAGAGTCAACTTGGCTGACGCTTTTATTCTCATATCATGAAGAAACTCCAACGAGCCAGACTCTGGCTCCGTACCTGGTATGAGATATGGGTGATTGCACACCTTTCTCAACTGCATCACTATATTAAGCATTGATTGTTGTGCTACTCCTTTCCCGATATTCCGTAGTATCTGATAGTTCTTAGTTAGCATTGCACGATAATATTCAGCCTGGATTGATGTCAACTCAACAGGGACCATCCTCTCTGTCTTTGGAGGTATATTCTGCATGGCATCTTTTTTCAGCCGGCGAAGCATATGAGGAGCAACAAGTTTCTTCAGTTCCTCTACTTTCTCAGCACTTGTCAGATCATGGAACCTCTCCTCAAAAGAAGACAAAGAGGGGAATGAAGATGGTTGCAAGAAGTTGAGCAGATTATACATCTCACCGATGTTATTCTGAAGAGGGGTGCCAGTCAAAAGTACACGGTGTTGAAATGAGAATGTGTTGAGCAAGCTAAACAGCTTACTCTCTGAATTCTTTAGACGATGCCCTTCATCAACAACAAGAACTTCCCATGGAACTCCACGTAAATGAGATGAGTCGGCCAGAACCATTTCATAAGTAGTTAAAAGGACATTGAATTTGTAAGGCATCATCTTCTTGGCCGTCCCAGTTGAACTCTTAGCATGCCACTCATAGTCTCGAATTATGGCTCTTGCTTTTGCCCCTCCATGATACTCCACAACATTAAGGAGGGGAGCCCAAAGAGAAAACTCGGATAGCCAGTTCGGCATTGTCGAAAGTGGGACCAAAACTAAACAAGGTCTTGCAACTCCAAACTCAAAATAAAGTGAGGAGAGAAATGCACTGGCGGACACTGTTTTTCCAAGCCCCATCTCATCAGCAAGTATTACATTTTTCGATTTATGCCAGCATCTACGCAACCAATTCAAAGCCTCAAGCTGATGTGGAAACAAGGCGCCTCCTTTGAGCTCTTGAGGTTGCTCTGTGAGGGTAATAACTTCACTTTGCTGACCCTCACCCTTTGCCCTTGAGGAATTACCCTTAGTGATATCTCTTTCCAACGTTTTCTGCTCATACTGCTGAAAAAGATCTAGCAAATGGGGTGAGTTCTTAAGAATAGGCTCCTCCAAGCTCTCCCATGTACATTCATCATAAGCTAGACCTGTCCATTTCACATAAGCTTCTTGGTTACCTTCTTTTGAAACCCGAAGAGCAATTATTCGCTGAGGCTGTTTCCATTTATCTTCGCAGATATTTATCACAGCCGTTCCGTACTTTGATTTGTAGTTTTCTAGTTTTCTTTTGGCAAGACCTTTGAGGTCCGCTTCAGAAATCCAACTGTTATGGATATTAGATTTTCCCACCCATTTCACAAGAAACTCATACGATACAGTCTCTCCAATAAGATCTGAAGTTTTAGCAGCAACAGGCTCCTCAACTTCTTCCCCTGCCATAGGGCTTTTTCCCTCCGTTTCCTCATGTGCATCTTTAAGTAACTCGGGATCAACAGAGACAGGTGTTTCACTAGCTCTTGAATCTTCATTATCCACATGTCTACTCAATGTGGCATCAGAATTGTCCTCTGAAAGCATATCTTCTTTCTCCTCAACCAAACCCTCAGTAACTACAGCAGATTCATCCACATCTTTATCCTTTATACGTGAGTCCCTGGAACGTTTACCTGTTTCAGAAGAGGATTCTGTTTTGTCCTCGGCAACAACTGATTCAGCATTTGTATCTTGCACTGAGCTGTCTCGCTCGTCATTAGCTAGTAAATCATCTGGAATTTCACTATACAGAGAGGTTTTATTCGGATCTTGGATTCTGCATCCTAAAACACGGTCGACCTGATAGGAAACACAAACAAGAAGGAAACCATATATTACCAAGCATAAACACATCACCAAAGACAATTCTGAAGGAACAAGAAAATTTCTGATGGCAGTGGCACAAGGATTGATTACCTGTAGGTTTGCAGGAGGAATAGAGTTTTTGTCATTCAAATGAATAGTGTTTGTGTCACGTATGGCACGACGTTCCTCCTTGGAAAGCTTCTGCATTATTAACACATACAACTGGATAAGAACATTTACTAAATGAAAGATGATACAAGATCAACTGCGAATAGAGAATGTAACCAATAGGACTGTTTAGTATGGTTTGCTAGATATCTCAACTCTGTAATTTTGCTTTTACGAATCCCAATGAATAAACAACAAACTACTTCTAAGCTAGAGAGATTCGCAATCTCACATGAATCACAACGCCTTGTGAGAAACAACTCTACTAATCAACCGGCAAAAAAACTATTCACGTTGCGCAGGGGAGATTACAGAATATACAGATGTTGCAAACTGTTAAAAGTAAAACAATATGCCACACTGGTTAATAAGAACTAAAAATTATTCTTAAGAGCACAATCTTCAGGACAGAACAGGAACATTATATGCAGTATTGACAAAAGACTCTTTACATTAATGTCAGAAAATACTCAACATTAAATACAATGATGAATTTGTAAACTCAAGTATCAATCTCTGATCTCTGAAATATCTTGATATCTTTTAATGCTACAACACACTTAAGACGAAGGCGCGGACTCAAAATTTTAAGGTTTCGTACAACTACAATATATTCCACAACATAAACATAGTAGAATGTCTGCAAAGCATATGATAATTAGGAAAACATACCTTCACTTTCTCTGGTAATTCCACCTTGGCCTCAGTTTTGGACAAGGATTTTAAAGTCACTCGATTTTTCTTCTTCTTCTTCTTTTTCGAAGACGAAGACTCTGGTGTTTTGGTACTCTGAGAACCCATTTTGGACAAACTTTTCTTTGCACGTTTCTTGTCAGTCTTGCCCTTTTTCAGAGTTTCCCCATCATTAAGTTCACGCTTCCGTTTTTTCCTTTTACCTTTTCCACTCTCCGCTTCAACAGCTTTGTTTTCCGCTTCCTCCACAGGTGCTTCAAGGTTTTTTCCGGTATCTGATGGTTTAGATTCGGAGAGATCTTCACCGGAAGGCGCATCTGCAGTTGGTAATGGTATGACAGGTGTTCCCAGATCATCTTCTCCACGAGACGAAGAATCGTGTTTGTCATCCACAGATGCATGAGCAATCTCAGCAGAACAACCTTCCATCGGAGACGAATAAACTTCCTTCCCAATAGATTTGCTCTCCTCAGCCGAAACAGATTTCCCTTTCTCTGAAGACTGTTCTCCAGAGACTATAGAACTGCAATAAATCTGAGAAGCTCTCTCTCCCTTTGGCCCTGCCTGTGAGTTTCTCTTCGTGGTTTTCGTTCTCGCCCGCTTTGAAATGGCGTCTAGACGATTGACAGGCTTTAGCGCATCGCTGTTTTGGGAACACTTTGGGCAGATCCACTTGCCATTTGGAATCCGCTAGAGGGGGAAAAAAGATTAGGACTAAAGATAAGTTTTCCGGATTTGGGTATTACGGGAGGACGAAATGAGAAGAGAATATTGTTTACCTTAAGAGGAGGGTCAAGGCATTCGGTATGATAGGTCCGAGGACAACTATCACAGCACAGCAAATCACCACCAAGGTCACAGATTACACATTCAAAATAATTCTGCCACAAAGAAATTTTATTAAAAGGTCATCATTACTAGAACAACAGCATATAAAAACTAACTTTAAGATATCACCAAGAAGGGAAACTGAAGTTACCCCGTCGTGTCCTTTCCTTTTAGAGGAGGCTCTTTCAGGAGTTGAATCAGTAACAGGACGATGTTTAGTTGGTTCAGGAGAATCAAAAGCCACGGAACTATCAACTTTTTGGTCTAACAAATCTAGTATACAAGGGAGCTTTCTTCGTTTCTGCTTCATGACCCAATCTCTGTTTATCATTTCACTGCCTGCATCTTTCATCTCCCATTTCTGTGTTCATACCATCTGCCTGATATAGCACTGGAGAGACCTTGATGTGTAAGATTCAAGATACTCTGAAACAACAAGGAGACTGTTAAATTATGCATATGCATAGAAATATTGAAAACGAAAGTATCACTCAGATCAAAGATGCAGCTTAATCAAACACACAATTCCATTCACATTTGCAATGAAATCTTCTTTGTGTAACAAAATAAGAGTGAAAGAGCGTTGGTCCAAGCATAGAAGCTAAAGAAATTATGTGATGTCCCCGCTAAATTATGGTGGTAACTTCACAACGGTAGAAGTATATCACACTTAAGATCCGTAATCTAGAGTTCTTAATTAAGGATGAAACACACAAACCTAGTAACTAATCTAATATCAGCAATAGCTTTGATGATAAAAGGATTCGATTTCTCCATTATGTAAATACTTAATACATTCCTCTACTTCAAACTAGTAAAGTACAAATTGGCAAATACAGTAAACACAATGTTAAAAGAAAGATCAATGTATGGACTTAACCTTAACCAAACCACAAATGGCAGAGTTTTAGTTAAGCAATCACATTAAACTTGAAGCACTTGAACTGGTAATGAAACATGAAATTCAAACATAAATCATGAGGGACAGAAAGCAAAGCATTACACAACACACATTGGCACTAACACATAAGTCTTAATCCGAAAGAAAAGAAAAAAAACCCAATTCCCCAAAGAGAAACAAAGACTTAAAACCCCAATTAACCATAATAACACTAAATCACTATCTTAATTAAACAGCATTAACCTCACACAAGCATCCAAAACCCCCACACAATCAAGTAAATCCATGGAATCAAAATCAACGGAGAAAAGAGGAAACAGCTTACACAAATCTGAGAATCTCAAATCGGAAGAAGAAGTTAAACACTAGTCCGATGATCAAGGACGAGAAATCCGGCGACGGAAGCTAGGGATTGAAGTCGGCAGAGAAAGGGGGGGGGGGGGGGGGGGGGGCTTCTAGGGCACGGCCTCAAGAGAGAGAGAGAGGTTGCGACGATACGAAAGGAAAGGGGGAGAGAGAGAGAGATGGAGACGCGACACGCGAAACGATAAATAAATAAAGAGAGAGAAAGTCTTTTGAGGATAGCGATGCGAGTTTGTAGAGAGAGAGAGAGAGAGAAGGAAAGGGCATATGATTCGGATTCGCCGGGCTCATAGGGGAACGGACTCTGACATGGCACGCACCGCACAAGAGACAGAACCGGAGAACGGAGAGTGACCTCTACCTCTCTTATCACGCCACGTGTCCCTGTCACCAAACTACTACTACACCTTTCTCTCTCTCTCTCTCTGTCGATTTTTTTTTTTCGCTTTCTTCGAATCCTTCTTCTCTCCCTCTCTCTAACCTCAATCGACGGGAAGATGAAAGAGGAAGAGAATCTCAGGATCCGCCATGGATTTTTTTCTTAAAGGGATGTTTATTAAGATAGATAGATCCTCCTCAGTTTAAAACTGTTTTTTCGGTTTGAAGCTTGTTATAGTTAAAAATTCGTTTTTTCAGATACGACGAGCTTAGCTTTTCTTTAATTTATACAGTATTGATTAGATTTTTTTTTTAACTTTTTATAAAATAAAGTAAAATGAAATCTTCTGTTTTAAAAAATACGCCGCCGAAAAAGATTCAATCTTTGACTCTTAAAAATTTAATGTTCTGTAGAGAGAATCCTTAACTAATTTAAATTCTTTGTTTTTTTTTACCTGGCATTTTTTTTTGTACTTAACGTCTTTCTGGTAATAAAAACATTATTTAATGAGAAATGTAAAGTGGACCATCAGGTTTTTGGGCCGGACTTAGGTTACTTGTGTGTTGACACTTGGATCCGTCATTTGGGACCCATTTTAGGCCTTTGAGTGTGAGCGCTGTCTAACTTTTTTTTTTTTCTTTTTTTTTCTTGAACTTGCTGTCTTAACTTTTTTTCCTTATTTTCCTTCTTTTTTCAAATAATATTATTGATATTAAACGAAAATTATAAAGTCAGTATCCAAAACTTCCGAAAATAAATTATTATATAAATAATTTATGTGCCATATAATAAGAATGATAACATGATGAAAAAGTGAATTTGATTATTACTTTTTCGCTAACAAAAAAATAAATTTGTTATTTCCCTTTTCTGATATATCAAATTACAGTGAATTTTTTTGGTTGAAAAAAAATGTGATTTTATATTTTTTTAAATGAGAGGTAATTTGTTCTGTCATCTTGAATATTAAAAAACTAGTGAGAGAGTTTGGGCTACTCAACTCACAGTTTAGTTGAAAGTTCATATAGAGAATGTTATTTTTAAATCAACCCCTATGGATGTGATTATGCCATTGGCCAGCTTTCTTAATTAGGACATATTGTCGAGATCACTCTTTGGTTCAAAAATTAAATTACGGCTCAAACAAATGAACAGTTGAACATCTAAACTTGGGAGATTATAACCCAAAATAATGTTACAAGATTAGATTAGAGAGTAGAACATGTTTTCTTACACTCACAATAAAGTCTTCATATTTAATCTACTTTCATCCAAAATATCAAAAAAAAAATCTCAATCCTCCAGACACTTCATAGGAGCACTCCAAGTCGTGTTCTGCACATGTTCTGACAAAGATAGATAGTTTCTCCAATCATCAAGAACAAGATTCAGATCATGAAGCTTCTTCTCTAATCCAATGCAACAATTAGCATGCATTGTGCAAACCAAGTTTATGTCTCTGCTCGTTTGACAAAACCCACCAAAGTAAACCGTATCAAAGAATCTCATTTGGACTCCAATCTCAGAGATATATGGCTCGTGCTTGATTCGGTTGAACACATCTTGGTCGTGTAACTCTGGATAATTCAGGCGAGATCTGTGCCAGAATTTGTAGAATTCAATGCTTCGATTGTTTGATCTCACGTATGTGAAACCTCCATTGACCCAATTGTCTGAATCAAAAGGGTTTCCGAAGAATCTATCACATGCCATTTGAAAATCTCCATCTGGATATAGCCGAGGAAATGGATCTCTCAGCCACATTATGTCTGCGTCCTATAGATTTACATACACAAGAATTGTCTATAACTGATTAGCCGTGAAAAACTAAAAAAAAAATGTGAACATTTTTGCACAATAAGCTAATATCATTCACATCACAGATAAAACTATGAAATGTGATTTGTAAAATCTTGAAGAATCTCAAAACCATTCCGCAGATACCAATCAAAATCATTGATTTTATATTTTGAACAAAAATCACAGAGGAATAGAAATATTAAGATCAATAGATATATACCGTAAAGATGAAGTTAAAACCCATCTCAAGAACTTGTGTAAGAAGCTCGATTCTACGCCACATCATCTTGAGATAATCAGGAGTGTTGTAAACTTTCTCGCCGGAGAAATCAGTTTCTGAGGATTCGAGTTGGTAGCAGTGAGTATGAAGTTGTGAGCATCGTTCAAACGCCTTGGGATCCAAGCAAACCACAACTACATGTTTGAGAAGCTGTTGTGTTCCTTGTCCAATACGAAAACTCTCTAAGAAGAGATCGAACAACGAGTTTGGTTCTGCCCAAGCTTGATTCAGTGTCGTTATAATAACTGTATTGTTCTTCGTCGACGCATTCTCCAAAATATCCTTGAAACTGATCTTTGGTTTTGTCTGAAACAACAACAAAGTTGGACATAAATTACAGATTCAATTCCAACCCCTAAGAAATCAGATGAAACAGAGTATAGCAGAAACAGAGTTTAAATCAGATCTGAGTACTGATGAGAGAGCTTACTGTTATTTCCGTAGAAATCTCTGATGAGTTGAGATTTAGCAATGGTGGAGATGGAGAAGCGAGAACAGAACTGAGATTGTTGACATCAAGTCTTTGCATAGGATAAGCTGTTTTGTATAAAACCAGACATGAAGCAGTCAAACCAATAAATAGAATCAAGATTCTTGTTACGTCCTTTTGTCCGATCACAAATCCTGAATCAAGAAATTTACTGCGAGACGATGAAGAAGATGAAGAAGAAGAGGTGGAAGACGAAGAACTCATTTTTTTTGCTTTCTTTCTTTTGGAAGTTTTTTTGCTTTCTTTCTTTTGGAAGTTTTTTTGCTTCTTTTATTCTTTTTGGGTCTTCGTTATTTTGTCGGTTCTTATAAAAAAAACGTATGAGAGCAAGCCAAAAGTCATCATTGGCAATTTTTTGTAACAGCAATGCTTATCATTATTTTTATAGTGTTTTGTTTATAATATTTTTGTCTAAGAAAGACTGATTCTATAAAATAAATACAACTGGTAGAATCGTGTATTGTTATAATATTGTGAATCATTGAGTTGTTATTTGTATTTTGTAAATTATTCTGAATGAATTTGGCTGATTTTTTCTTAAAAAATGATATTGCCTGATAGTAAAGAATGTATTCTACTAAAAATGCACATATCTCTTCTATTTGGTTTAATTAACCAACGAACCAACGAGAAACGAAACTCTCGATTTATGTGTTCTTGAATTTTTAATTCTGTTTCTGTTTTTCAGATTTACGTTGCCAGAAAAAGCTCATAGAGTCGGTTTTATTCTTATATACTTATATACTGTACTAGGTATTTATCCGTGCTATGCTGCGGTTTTTCTAGATTTGTATATATTTTTAATATAATAAAATTATTTATATATTTTAAATAAGTATTATATTTATTTTTTATTAACTTAAGTTATGTATTTATATGTTTTAAATATTATATATCATTAATTTTTTTATTTATTAAAATTATAATTTACTATCAAATTTGTTTAGCTAACTATCTGTAAATGTATATGTAAGAATAAAATAATATATTTTTAAGTACCTTCAAACTAATTGTAGATGTAATTTATGTTCTCTATTAAATGCTACTTGATCCTCTTTTGAAATTATATAAAGTAAATTGTCATTTAAAAAAATATTAATTAATATGATTATTTTAAATTATAAAATTTATTTATTTATCAAATATTTATTATAGACATATGTTTCTAAAACTACCAAACTATAATCAATAACATTCATATCAAAATCATTACTATTACTTTAGAACTAAATAGAAAGTTCTATTTGAGCTGTTGAAATATCAATTTAGTTGAAGTTAAATAATTCAATTTAGGTTACTATAAACATATTATAACTTGAAAATTTAGAACAGAGAAATTTTATCTTTTGACAAAAACCGAGAAATTGCATTTTCGCCAAAACCAAAAAAAAATCATTTTCTCGTCAAACCTGAAATTTCATTTTCCTACCAAAACAAAGAAATTGCATTTTCCCTCAAAAACAAAAAAATCATACTTTCCTGCGAGAACCTGTGTTTTTCCGTCAAAACAGAAAAATCAAGTTTTTTCACCAAAACCAAAAAATTTCATCTTCCTGCAAAAACAAAAAATAGTATTTTTCCGTCAAAACCAAAAATTATTTCCCGCAAAAATTGAGAAATTGTCTATTCCCACCAAAACAAGAAAAAATTATTTTTCTCGTCAAATCAAGAATCACGCATTCCTACCAAAACCGATGAACTACAATTTTCTGCAAAAACAAAAAATTGCATCATCTCCTGAGAAATTGCGTTTCCCACGAAAACTAAGAAATCATATTTTCCCTCGAAAATCAAAAATCAAATTATATGTCAAAATTGTATTTTCTATCAAAACCGAAAAATCGTAGTTTTCGTCAAAATTGAAAAGTTGCATTTCCCTCGTATTTTCTCGTCAAAATCAAATTTTTTATTTCTTACTAAAACCAAAAATTCACATTTTGCTGCCAAACCCGAGAATTCGTTTTTTCCGCCATAACCGAGAAACTATGTTTTCCTACCAAAACTGAAAATCACATTTTTCTACCAAATCCAAGAAATTCTCTATTTCCACCAAATCCAAAAAAATTTGTTCTCCGTAACTAGTGGAAATGCGAATCTCCAGGCTGTTGTGGTCTGAGTTTCTCCTTATTTGCTTTCGCCTTCCATTTTTTTTGTAAACTTTGAGCTTTTTAATGGGTCAGCAAAATAGTAAATTGATTTTATTAGTATGTTAATAATATGTATTATTGTTATGTTTTTATTGGTTCAGATTTTTGCTGATGTGTGAGCTTTTTATAACATAACGCTTTTTGCATTGTTGTTATGGAAGTATAGTTGATGATGAGTCTACACTTTCTTCAATCATGTACGTCTCTATCAAGCAAACACATAGTTAGAAATTTTAATTTTTTTTGCTATTATTTATTATTTGAGTTTCGGTTTAGCAAAAATATAAATAAAGATTTAATTTTATTATTTGTTGTTATTTATTATTTAGATTTGTTAAAAAAATAAAACAAATTTTTTTATTTGCTGTTATTTATTATTAGGCTTGGGCTTGACCAAAAAAATAAAACTAATATTAATAATAAAAAATATTTGAGTTTTTAATGAGTTTAAATTTAAAAATTAAAATAAATTGATGACTTGTATTAATGAAATGTTTTTATTGGTAGTTTTTTTTGCTGAAGTGTCATCTC